AAGGCTGGTATAATCGAGATTTCCTCCACCCTGTACCATTCTCAGGATACATTTTTGTGAACGTTGCAGTGCGGGGTAACTGGGAGAGAAGGAAAAAACTACACACATGACCCAGCCATAGAGCTGAGAAAGACTCTGATTCAGACCTGGCTCTGCCATGAGCTCAGGGACATGGGGAAGCTGCTGTCCTGAAGGCAAACAACAGCAGGTTCCCAGGATTAGCTATATGGCAGGCCCTCAACAGATCTGTGCTGAACGAATCCACTGATGAGTGAGCGAATGAGTGACTTGAGAAATAGCTGGAAAACTAAGTAAATAACTAGAGTAAGAGCCTGGACACATGTAACATTTTAGTCCCTTTCTCCTCCTGTACTCTCATGGGGTTCAGGGTCTCTGATGGTTACAAGGCTGGAGACAAACAGATGGATATATTAAAAAAAATACTCATGGGTACAATAAGATAAAAATAGCTCTTCTGAAAAAACTTGCACGTGCTCATTTCTTTTGCTGTTACGTTATGATTTTTGCTTTTGATCTTCACTGATTTTAGATACTTATTACCCAAACTATCAATTAAGAGATATAAATGCAAGAGAATGGAGTAATTTTCAAAGCAATTGATAAAATACTCTAAGGGCCACAGGCAGCCCCGGGGAGGGCTAGGCAGCTGTCAGGGTGGAACCTATCAAGTCAGGGAACCAGATGAGGCACAGTGAATTTCTCAGCCCATCTGGTTTGAACAAGACAAGCTCAGTCCTGAAATACCTCTCTCCTGCATTCCTTTTTTGGGCAGGTCCAGCCTGAAGCCTCATTAACTACAAAGATTAGAGAAGGTAGCACTGGGGTCAAATTTACACTTTAATAAAGTTTAGGACCAAATCTTTTCTGCTAAAAAACGTTTTAAAACCTTTCTGTACTTGCCTGGTTTTCTACATCTCCAAGCACAGAAGAAAGATCTTACAGTTTAAGGGTCTCAGTGACGACTCAGAATGAGAATATGGAACAAGCAGGTATAATGACCTTAGGTTCTGCTTAAAGTAAAACCACACCTAAGAGTCTATCACCAATTTAGTCTCTCCTATTCTTCCTGAAAATTCAACTACAGACTAAAATTTCATTACTCCAAAAAAACAGCTTAGGGTATTTAGGTTACAGCAATTAAAATGAATCCCAAGATTTAAAACAAAATTGGAAAATACGAATTCTGCTTCTTGATTTAGGTTTTTGATACTAAAACATTTGGATGAAAATTACACACAGCAATTTTCAAGCATTAAACTCTTGTCTTCAGCTGTACAAGCACCCTTAATTTAGGATCTGTAGAGTCCCAGACAAGAAAATAAACCTCAACATTCATTCAGATTGATTTCTCCAAATTAAGAGGCAAGGGCATCAGCTTTGTTGCACACGTGTGCGTGGAGACAAACGGCGATTGTGACCTTTCTCTCCCCCCTCACTGCACAAGCCCTGAAGCTAACCCATTTAGTCAGTCTATAAAATGTTAGCATGTATCTGTTTCACAACAGCTATTGTTCAACTTTCAGGAAACATTCAGTTATGAAGTAAGCGCCAAGACAGTTTGCTAATACAAATAACAGTATAGGAACCTGGACACTTCCCTACGGGAAACTGACGCCAGCCATGAACTAGGTAGGAGCCACTAGTTCTAAATTCTAACACTCTAGGTACCCGGGAAGAAAAGAGAAGCCAAGGTACCCAGCAGGATTTGCCATATTAAGATTATTCTCTTGGCCAGAGGCAGGGTGGGGGTGGGTGGGGCGTGATTAGAAGTGTGACAGCCACATTCTTTCCCATTAGAAGGACTTTGAAAGCAGCTGCAAACGCTCAGCCATCAGCAGCCTGTGTGGCTTGTCATTGGGCACCAGGCCCCATTAGTTTTTGTTGAACGTATGCAAGAGATTAAGCAGGACTTCAAGACCTTCAGACTGGGATAAGTCATCTGCAAACAGGTTTTCTTTAATACCAGTTTAAAAACGCTGGGATTTCAGCCCTCTCTCCAGTAAAACCGGGGGGGGGGGGGGGTGGGCAACACTTGTGACTATTACAAAATGTATGGGACGGTGAAGGAGACATCTGAAAATGTTCCTGTCAGTGTCCTTGGCATGACACCAAAACAAAATTGGGCACTGCATCGAAAACTTGAAGCAAAGCCAGGTTACAGCCTTAGAAAAGGATGCAGCTCACAAGGAAATATTTCATTAATACTAAGCACAAGTCCACTCAGTCTTTATATCACACAGGTATGGATTCCACAGGACAGTAAACCCCTCCACAGGAGCAGGCTTCCACGGTGTGGCGTGAACTCTCTTTGACGGGTAAAGCCTATCAACACATCGAATGAAAACAACCTTCCATTTAAGAGCTGCTCGTTTACTCTTTGTTGAATTTAGACGACATATTGAGAATAACTAATTTCCCATCTGCAGAGCTGAATTTTCAACTCCTTCAATTAAGCATTTCTATTAACAGAAAATTCAATCCTTCGCCACCACCAAGCCAGTAAACAGAATACCTAACAGGAAGGCCAGCTCCTGGAAACCTGCTGCTGAATAATGAAACGTGCTCGCAGGCATGGAGAGAATCTCTCCGCGGTTTCAGATGCTGGAGAAGCTCAAAGTGCTTTCTAGTTGAGCACTTCTGACACATTCTTGCTTTTTAACAACGAATTCATCACCTCCTCTAGTACCTCTCGATTGCAGAACAAGGTAAATGATCCAGGTTGGTCTCTACCAGTTAATGAGTTAGTCTTGTATTCTAAAATCGTAACCTGGATAATTTGCCACGGCCCACTACTGTCTGGTATCCAGACTCTTATCTCTCAAACAACAAAATGTAATACTCTTCTAGATTAGAGACTGGGTTCTCCTTACACTGTTACAATCATGTGGACTCCAGGCCACTGGATCCACTTTAGAACGTGATTCACTCACTGGAGTTGAGAAATTACACTGAGTTTCTGGCGGGACTGCACTACTTCCTTCAAACCTGATCAGAGGAGGTGAAGAAAGCCAGCCTCTGATGGAAGGTTAAGACAAACGGTGGACTTGCGCTAAAAATACTCTCATCTTCCTTTTATGAAAGGAAACTGTTTTAGTATAAGCAGGAGAAATAAGGAACACACGTTTTGAACTTGAATACTAACACAGCTTTCATTCCTTATATGAAAGGAAAACAGCAGGAGCTAAAAAGTAAGTCAGTAAAGTGAAGAAGTTACATTTAGGCTTGACCACAGTGAACGCGACATAGCATTCCTTACTTAAGGGTATTAAAATAAGGCTGCGCCTCTTGTCAGCGGCGGCCACTCGTTACAGTTGAGACACTCCTGCTCCCTGTTTCAGAGCATGCCACGCCCTGGCAGAGGGCAGTTTCTCAGCCTGGGCACTCAGACATCTTGGGCCGGATAACTCTGTCACGGGGGCAGTCCTGTGCACTGGAGGATGTTTAGCAGCATCCTCAGCCTCTGCTCACTGGATGCCAGAACACTCCCCGTCCAATTTGTGACAAGCAAAAACGTCTCCAGCTGTTGCCAAATGTCCCCCGGGGGAGGGGAGGCTCAAATCACCCCAGACTGAGAGCTACTGGCGTGGAATACAGACAACCTAGTCGAATAGTGAAACCAGATCGAGACTTAAACTTCCTTCTTCTTTTCGATGATATTTCAAATAGCTGCATATCCCAAATCCTCAAATGACTAAACAGAACTCAATTTCTGTGAACAACAAAACCCCAATTTCAGTTTTATGTATAACTTAAAATGTTTTAACTTCCAATGTCTTAACTACAACAATCTGACAAACTTTCAGATTTAATTTTTTAAAGTTTAAATCTGAGATTTTGATGTTTATAACTAGTTAATAGAAATAAATCCTCATATCTGCACCCAGGGCTGAAGCTTACACCTACTGAGGAAGGCTGTTTCTTTGAGGTTCAAAAGACCTACTCACTGTAAGCCTCAGGTCTGCTCTTGGAGGGGGAAGCGGTACCGCGCAGGCCCTGGTGCCAAGGGTCTGCTGCACAGCGCCCGCCTCCGGCCCAGCCTCACGCTCCCGGCCTGGGCTTTCGCCAGATGGCAAGGACCCGATAGTGAGTCACTGCTGAGAGGGCTTCTTTTTTGAGCACATCCTTCTTCCTAGATACAACTAGGTCTTTTTTTTATTCAAAAGATCCATCAACAGTAATTTTAAAAAGAGCTGCTTTTGCATATTAACTACTAGTTTTGTCTTGTTATGAGTGGATTGTCTTTGTTATTAAAAAAATGACTATTTATTATATCAGAGATTGGCCTGAAATGGAAGCATATATACCAATTCATCTGAGCAAAATTCTCCAAAGGACGCGAGGCCCTAAATCACAAATAGTCAGAACCTTTCCATATATACACAGAGCTACAGGTGCACTCACATACTACGGAAAATGCATGTTGACTTGGCCAACATTCTACTCTCTGGCCTTGTGGATACCACTCCATCTGATGGACAGCCTTATAGAGAATGAGAATTTGGAAACAAAGATTATTCACATAATCTTTTCATCTTCTTTTGTTATGCCTCCCGAGAGAACAAGAGTCAAATTATCAGGTTTATTCCTCACATTTCCATGGAGACAATGCTTGGTTCTCCTGCTAGTTCTTGCACTTAGGTTTACTCAGGTTTAAAGATAGTTGTTAAAGTTTCTGATTTTTTTTCTGTCTTTTGAATTCTTGAATAACCACGGTTCATTTATCCTGCTCTAATTTAGATACAAGAAGGCCAATTAAAGGCAAGTCTATAAAACTGCCTACGTACCTACAGAAAAAAGATACATGTGCATACAAAAACACACACATCAGTATTTCCTAAAAGAACACAGCTTAAAATGCTTGCTATGTCTCATGTATTGCTATCTTCCAGCACCAGGCACCATAGCAACGATATTCCTGAGAAGAGCAGCCCCTAGAAGTTACTAACAGCTTACCAGATATAAAGAAAACAGATACATACCATCAAAGCTACCTTGTTCAGAAGCAAGGTGCAACAGTTGATTGTATGTTTCCAAAGAAGGCTGAAACACGAAGACCCCGGAATTGAAGCAGTCAGGCCACCCTGGGTCTGGGGCCGCCGACAATTCTTCTCTCTCAAAAAGATCATCGATATTGGCTAGGACCTGATTCAAGGGCGAGTGGGGAGAAAAAGCATTACAGAGATGTTCTGCAGCAGATACACTTACGTTCTCCCTAAGTTACTCAACACAAAAGGTGCAATCTGTTGCTGCTCTCAACTCCCAGATGACAGCTGTAAGGCAGCCTGGGCCTGCTCTTCATCAACGCCCGAAACTTCTTGCCACAGTGGTTTTATCTGAACTTTACTGTCAAGTCTGTACAGCGTTCTTCAAACGTCTAACTGGCCTCAGTTACTCCGTACATCTTTCCAGCCATCGAAGCCACACTCACCAGAGTATCTGCATCCATGAACACACATTTTGAATACTGTGTAAGTGACCAGCAGTGGAGTTTAGTTAACGTGACACCCAACTCAGGCCTCTTCATTAAGGTTAGATGAGCAGAATCACCACTATCCAAGACGTCTACCAGGATGACTTCATCAAAGACTGTCTCTAAAGCTTTTCTGTCAAAATAAAATCCAGAACACAGTACTCAGCGGTTTTTCAGAACAAGTGACCCATCTAACGTAAGACTACATTCTTATTAGCCTGTCTGTCAATTCCTAGAGTGATCTGGATCTGCCACTTCACTATAATCTCTTTAATACATCCTCATTTACTTCAGGATGAACTGTGTTAATTTTCAGGTGCAGCTCACTTCACTAAAATAAGCACTGCTTACGGTGAGGATGAAGCACTTGTCTTAAAACATTACCACAGAAAAAGTTTTCTACTTTTTATTGTACCAGTGAATACCAGGAAACTGTGGAAACAGCTTGTAAAAATGTGACTCACATTTGGTAAGAGTACATCTTTGCAACAGCCCAGGTATTTAACAATGATGTTTCATTAGAATTGCTTCTTGCTGACTACTGCATATTTTTGCAAATGAGGCTGAGTAAAGTACACATGATATCTGCAACGACGCCTATAACTAATCATTCTGCTAAAGCAGTTGATGAGAAGTGCCTGAAGCTTTGCGTCCCAAAAGAAGTTAAAGGACTTGGTTACTCAGCTGCCAGTTTTCAGAACCGACCATAACCAGCATTTATTCTGTGCTCAGCACTCTTGGCATCATGAGAGATTCGCTTTGGTTTGTGAGGAACGACACTTCTCCGTGCCCAAAATCAACTAAGACTTATTTAGAGAACAATCTTGGGGTGTGGTGGGTGGGCTATACTTAGGGAGGACAATAACTCAGCACAGGCAAAAGCATATGACAAAGACAGAACATCACTGGATGTTCGTAACAATGCCAAACCTGCAGAGGAGACTGGGGTTGTATTCTCTGTCTCCAGAGCTAGAACAAAATACGTTCTAGTTCACAGTAAGCTCGGTCTTTTTGAAGAGACATGGTCAGTGGCACCACTTCCCACAGTAAATGGGGGCAGTCTAAGACTCCCTCTGTCCACACACATCCTCACAAAGCAACTGCAGATTAGGACGTGCACATTAGGAGACAGTCTTTTTGGCATTTTCCTAAAGGACCCTTTAGGAACAAGGCTGTCAGTGTGAGAGAGACAGGTATGTGTATATGATGCCTCCTTTTCAGAGGTCCTCGGCATGTGCTTACATTTTTTGAAAAAAGTCACAAAAAGGCGTGTTTTCAATTTCCAAGAGGGATAGGAGAATGCAAAAATTGACACAATGCAGAGCTGCCAGCGTGCCCTGGTACTTTTAAAGCTAGTATTAGGATCTGGGTGGTTCATCCAGATACTTCAAAATTTAATTCCAACAAATGGAAGCGCACTAACCCAATCAACAAGCAGCCGAGCCCCCAGGGGCTCTCCCAGCACAACCCCTGGTCCAGAAAGCCTTTTGGCAAATATTCTACTCCATTAAATCGTAAATGCAGGTCTTTAGGTTACAAATGTCACCTGACAGTGGAGAAACTGCTTTCTTTCTTTCAGAGTCACCTGAGGTTTCCCTGGTTGGAAGCAGGAAACAAAACAGCCCCTGCTGCATCTTGAGGAAGGAGCACAGTGACACGTGGCTACATAAAGGGAATGCCCAGACGGACACACTCACTCAAGTCTCCCTGAGAGGACTTGCTTAAGGGAGAGGCCTCTTCTATTCTGAGTTGGAATCAGCAAGTGCATCAGCCGGAACACCACTTCCCAGAAGGGAGCTTGGCTGGACTACCTCCCAAGAGCTAGGAAGAGGTTCAGAGACCCAGGGGCCCTTCACTCAGCAACTCTCTGCTTTCTCCACCTGGCACTCACCCCCTGAAAAGGGTATGGTCTCAATGCCCACTGATGCCGGAAACAGCAGAGAGGGAGGTCAGAGCAACACCAACACAGGGGCAGGGAGGTCCTCACCTCATGGAGTCTGAGACCTGCGGGGTGGTGAGCACAGCCAGCCTCCTGGTGGTCCTGTGCTGTTTCAGAGACGAGCCCAGGACCAGGGCTCCTTTGGCGTAGGCATCGTTTGTGGTCAGCGTCACAAAGGCCTGATCTTAATACAAAGAAAAAAACACACTCATTACAATATCCCACCTAGAAAAATCTACCTCAGGACCCTTTTCAACCTGTAATTTGGCAAAATCAGCCCCTCTGAGATCAATCTGGTCTATTAATGAAGCAGCAGCCTCTCTGAGGGAGAGGAGCAGAGAACTCAAGTGCCCACTTCAAGATTGGTTCGAGGCCATTCTTTAGCAGGAGTATCTCCAGTGATCTTCAAGAGGCTGACTGAGCTGTAAAAATTAAACCCAGTTTAGCGTCTGAACATGCTAAATTCTCAGAGTAAATAGTAGCTTAACAGCCAGAGAGTGAACCTCAGGCAATTAACAGGTGGTAATGAAGAGATCAAGAAGTGCATCTTCTGGGTCTTCTAAAGGAACGCAGTCTTTCCAGCCAAGCACAAATGCAACTCACAGCCTCAAGCGAGAGTGTCTAAAAGCAGAGGCCATATTCTTCATTCTGGTGCTGGTGCTGACACTTCTGTCAATCCTCCAGCTTTTTATCCTGTTTCCTCCACCTGGAGCAAAGGCCCCCGCCATGACCACCCTCAAGACTGACTGAGTCTCTGTTCAGACATCGCCTCCTCAGAGGCCTTCCCTCCTTCTTGCTTCTATCTAAACAGCAGCTGAGGGCTGCCGAACGGATTTAGGGACCAGCTCACGAGCTCTAACAAACCTGCCTCCTTTTCCTTGGAGAAGCAAGCAGTGCTCCCCACCCTGAACCTGGGGCCCCCAACACTCTTTCTCTCACACACACACACTCAAAAATCAAACTCCAGTAACCACTCAGTCGGCAGACCAAAGGCAAACACGTGGATTATCCTTCCAGAACAAGGTGTGCCCTCCCAAGACCACCAGCCCAGCCTTCGGGATTCCTCCAGTCCTTCCCTGCGATGATTCTGGGGGCACACTCCGTCTCCCAGGGGATTTTAACATTAGCAAGTTGGTGGGCATCCAAATGTACAAGATACTTAGGATGAAGCTCTGGCAGGGGTCACGTGGTCCCTGCTGCCCACGCAGGGAGCTGGGACATTTTGTCACGAAGTCACTCTCTGTCTTGTTTCCTTTCTCCCTTTCCCCATTTTCCAACGTGGAGGCCGGTCAGAGGTAGAGGAAACTCAGTCCAGAAGTGAGAGGAAATTGTAGGTTGTCAAGAGAGCCAGCACATCCCCCAGCCTCCCACCTGAGGGCCATCTTCACACACAGTGTGGAGCTCTCTTCCGGGGCAGGTCCACGGTTAAGTTGTAGAAAGACTGACATTCCTCACCCCGAGAGGGCCGCCCGCTTCCCGGCCAGTCACACTCTAGGAAAACCCCGAACAGTGACACCTGCCACCTGCCATGCCCATCAACCTCGGCCTGTGCTTGCTCCCTCAATCTGTCATAAAATGGCAACATTTCCGTCAGTCGGCCCCAGGAGTATTTAAACCGCGCCATAATGAATGATGCTTTAACTCAGCAGCGGTCCAGATTTCAGGCGATCACGGAGAAAAGTTTATAAGGTAAGTAGGACTCAAGGGTTTCAGGAAGCAAGCCTATGGATGCTCTCCAAGATGAAGTAGGGGACGGGACACATGCTTAGGAACACGAGACCCCGCAAACCTCACAAATGAACAGGAAAGGCAAGGACAGTCGGGAGGGAGGGAGTTCCACCTTCCAGGGACGGCTGAACTCCGGTCACCTCTGCAATCTTCCGCCAGTTCAGCGGCTGCAATGACCTCGCGTGAGTCTCGACCTCACGGGAGGGACCAGCCACCCGGGAGCCTCCCATCCCGGGGGCAGGCTCGCGCGGCGGCCCGGACGCCCCGCAACAAGTGGGCCGAGGCGGCGCCCCTCGCCGCCCGCCCGGCCCGGCTCCGGAGGCCTAAAAATAGGCTCGGCGTGGCGGCCAGCGCCGGGCGGGCGCGAGGAGCGGCGGGCCGCCCCCTCCCGGCTCCTGCCCGCGGGAGCCCCCGGCCCGCCGCCCTTCGCGGGGAGCGGGAGGAAGGGCGAGGACACGGAAGCGCCGGCGGGGCTCCGGCGGCCCGGCTCGGCCCGCGGCCCGGGTGCAGGCGGCCCTGCGGGCGCGGGCGGCGGGCGGCGCTGACGCAGAAGGCGACACGCCCGGGGGCGGCCGGCCCGCAACTTCGCGGCGGCCCCCGTGCGGCGGGGGTCCCAGGGCCGCGGGCGCGGAGGCGGCGCGGGCGGCGGGCGCGTACCTGCCATGGTGCTGCCGGGCGCGGCGGCCGCAGCCGCGGGTCGGGCCGGGAGCCGGGCGCCGGGACGCAGCGCGGCAGCGAGGAGGCGCGGCGGGAGGCGGCGTGCGGCCCGCGCGCTCTTATAGCGGCCGTCACGTGGGCGCGCGCGCCGCCGCCGCATCCTCCGCGCCGGGCCGCCGGCCGCGCTGCGGGACCGGTCCCCGCGCCCCCGAACCGGTCCCCGCGCCCCCGCCTGCCCCGCGCCCTGCGCCCCCGGGACCCCGGGAGCTGGCGTTCGGAGGGGCCTTTGGGGCAGAGTGCGGCATCAGGGGGACAAACTCCCAAAGAAGCCGAGGATTAGGGAACCTTAAAAAACAAGAATCCCAGGTCACTCTAGTTATAACAATTCCTCTGAACTGCTTGAATCAAACAAACATAAAAGTTTAATTCCACTCTTTTTACCTGGAATTCCAAATCACCCTCTGGAAGCATATCTTAGTGTTCTCACAACGGGTTTGTGGCCTTAACGGAAAAATAGAATGATTCTTAAGTCTGCTTTTTAGATTCTTGGAGCCCTCTGCATCACGAGGCCCTTTAAGTGTTTCCTTGAATCCTCGCACCAACTCAGGGAAGTAGGTGTTACATCCTCATTTCACACATGAGGAAACTGAGGCTCACCAGAGTTCAATTACTTGTGTGCGGTCATATCGTGTGAGGGGAGAAGGCAGGACCTGAACCTGGCAGTTTGCTCTGCAGAATTGACCTTCCCGTCTGCAAGGCCATGACAGCTCTGAAAAGGTTAGTAAATTATGGTAACTTGGTTGGGTAATGTAGTTGTTTAGGTTAATCTGTTTCACAAATGATGAAAAGGTGAATTTGTCGTTCTTCTGGGAAGTTGAGAAATCACTCTCTTGTGTGATCACACCCTTCTCCGCTCCCCATCCCTTCCACCCAGCCCAGACGCCAGGAAAGCAGCAGGTAGTACAGTTCTTTACTGACAGTAGCTGCTTAGTAATTGCTGAATGGAAGCCAAACAGGAAGTTGACAGCATCATTTCAAAAAATGAAATAGATGCTTGAGAATAAGTGCTTTATTTGCAATGGTGGTATTGCTGTTCTCGGATCAGTTATTTCACTCTTTCCTCCAGTGTAGGCCTGGACCGCCTACTTCAGAACCACTTGGGGCACTTGTTAAAATGCAAACTTTTGGTCCTAAGCCCAGTCCTCTTGACTCAGAATCTTAAGGGTAGAGACCACTGAAGCATGTGGGAAGACCTCCGGGTTACTTGGCATTATGAACTTCCTTTGCAGGAAGTGGAAATATGGGGGCGAAAGTGCAATGGATGGGTTTCCACTTATTCAAACCCTGTATGCTTAGAAGATTGGAGCTCTGTAAGGAATGTAATGCCTGTACTTGAATTACACCCACCTGGGGAGAAGAAAAACAGAGAGTGGTGCGTGCAGGTCTGACTTGCTCCTTTCCATGCTAATAGGTGAACGTAGAAGAGTGGGGGCTCCATCTTTCACCCAGGAACCCTCCTGCCGCTGAGCTTCCACAGGGCTGTGGTGCTGGGCCATAGGGCAAAGCCAGGAGGGAGAGCTGGGAACAACTGGAACAAGCAGGAAGCTTCTCTTAGGAACAAGCTCCTCTGCTCAACCCTCCAGGGTGTGTAAGTCAAAGTGGGCACCACAGCCTGCCTTCCTGTGTTTCATGCACATGTACAGAAACAGAAAGTTTACAGCTTTGACCACTTTGAGTCAAATAGGGACATTTTGGGGTTGCTGCAGTCTACTCCTCCATGTTGTTTTAATGGAGGTTACTGATAGTGACCCCCTGCCCACATCTCCTGAGGCTGCTCTATATCGCTCTTCAGTTGGGGATGAGAGCAAGGGCCTCTCAAGCTTTAGTATGTGCACACATTGTCTGGGCAGCTTGTTAGAGTACAGATTCTGATTCTCTGGTTTGGAGTGGATCTCTTAGGTGATGCCCAGGCTGTGCACCAACTTTCAACAGCGAGGTGTTCAAACATTCTGGATTGTCAGGCTTTGCAGGTAAAGGATAGACACGTATGTTGTAGTGAGACAATGTTTGAGACTTGAATTTGTTCATTTTTCCCCTGTGAAATTTGAACTATCAGAATTTCTGAGTCCTAAAAGAAAGATTTAAGTTAAAAAAGAACAGCTGGGGCCGGCCCCGTGGCTGAGTGGTTAAGTTTGCGCGCTCTGCTGTGGCGGCCCAGGGTTTTGCTGGTTTGAATCCTGGGCGTGGACATGGCACCGCTCATCAGGCCACATTGAGGCAGCGTCCCACATGCCACAACTAGAAGGGCCCACAACTAAAATATATACAACTATGTACTGGGGGGGATTTGGGGAGAAAAAGCAGAAAGAAAAAAAAGAAAGCTATATTCTACATGAGTATGCATAACTACTAACCATTTAAACCTGTGCTAAACGGGGATATTCAGTGTGGTTGGTCCCAAATTCACTTTTAGTTGGCTTTGGAATGCATTATGTAATTTTTTGGCAGGATACTTACCTTCCTAATTATGTTTTATTTAAGATAATGCTGAAATCAGTTTGCATTCCCTTGAGCACACACACTAATTGATGGTGGGAGCAACTGACCTGGAAATCCATTCCAGAGGGCAACCTGCTGGCCTAGGACACAGACAGTTCCCATGGACAGTCCATGAGATAGATACACCACGTCTGGCTGGACACAGGAACTAACTAGTTAACTAACTACTTAAAATTTTGCCCTCAAACAGATAACACACAAAACCTCTACCTGGAATTGTTGCCACTGATCACAACCCTGTTCATTTCTAGTCAGAATCTTAGTTTTAAGAAATAATACCCTTGGAGGACCAAAGTAGCTCATTTTTCACTCAAGAGCTGGAGTCCTAAACTCCATAAGCTAGAAGGGCCTGGTGACTAGTTACTGGCCTTTTCTTTAAAAATAAACAAACTTTATTGAGATATAATTCACACACTGTGAAATTCAGCCACTTAAAGTATACAGTTAAATAGTTTTTAGTATATTCACAGAGTTGTGCCAATATCAACACAATCTAAGTTTAGCACATTTTCATCCCCCGAAAAGAAACCTGTACCCATTAGCAGTCTCTCCTCGTTCTCTCCCTCTTTCCCTCAGCAGCTACTAATCGACTTTCTGTCTCTATAGATTTGTCCACAGAGCTTTGTCTGTATGTGGTCTTTTGTGACTGGCTTCTTTCACTTAGCATAATATTTTCATGGTTCTCCCATGTTGTGGCATGTATCAGTATTTCATTCCTTTTTATTGCCAAATAGTATTTCGTTATATGGATATCCACATTTTAGTTATCCGTTTCATGGATAAATATGTTGATGGATGTTTTGGTGGTTTCCATTTTTTCAGCTGTTGTGAATACTGCTCCTATGAACATTTGTGTCCAAGTTTTTGCATGGATATGTATTTTTCTTTCTTCTGGATGTATGCCAAGAGTAGAATTGCTAGACCATATGTTTAACATTTCAAGGACTGCCAGACCGTTTTCCAAAGTGTCTGCATCATTTTGCATTCCCACTAGTATGAGGGTTCCAATTTCTTCACTTCTTAGCCAATACTTGCTATTGTGTTTTTTATTATCACCATCCTAATGGGTTTGGCATGGTCTCATTGTGATTTTTATTTGCGTTTCCCTAATAACTAGTGGTGTTGAGCATCTTTTTGTGTGCTTGTTGGCCATTTTAATGTCTTCTTTGGAGAAATGTCTATTCAAACGCTTTACCCATTTTTTAATTGAGTTGGTTTCTTACTACTGAGTTGTAAGAGTTCTTTATATCTTATGCATACAAGTCCATTATCAGATATTTAGGATATGCATATATATATGATTTGTAAATATCTCCTCCCATTCTGCGAGTGAACCTTTCACTTTCTTGATAGTATTTTTTGCAGCACAAAAGTTTTAAATTTTTGCATAGTCCAATTTATTTATTTTTCTATTTTGCTTGTGCTTTTGGTGTCATATCTAAGAAACTATTGCCTAACCATGGTCATAAAAATTTACCTCTATGATTTTTCTAAGGGTTTTATAGCTTTAGCTCTTAAATTTATGTCTGTAATCCATTTTGAGTGAATTTTTGTGTGTGGTGTGAAGTGGAGGTCCAGCTTCTTTCTTTTTCATGTGAATATTGAGTTGTCCCAGCACTGTTTGTTGAAAAGGCCATTGATTCCCCATTGAATTGTCTTGACACCTTTGCTGAAGATCAGTTGACTATAAACGTGACAATTCTATTTCTTGCCTCAATTCTATTCCATTGATCTATATGTCTGTCCTAATGGAAGTTCCATACTGTCATGATCTCTCTGGCTTTGTAGAAAGTTTGGAACTGGGAAGAGTGAGTCCTCCATTTTTGTTCTTTTTTCGAGATTGTTTTGACTATTCTGGGTGCCTTGCATTTCCTTATGAAGTTTAGGATCAGTTTATTAACTTCTACAATAAAGGAAGATGGGATTTTGATAGGGATTGCATTGAATTTGTAGATTAATTTGGAGAGAATTGACAACTTAAAACTTAAGCCTTCTGATCCATGAACATGGGATATCTTTTCGTTTATTTAGGTCTTGTGAAATTTCTTTCAATAATGCTTAGTAGTACATTGCCTTCTAAATCACGTGACAAAACTCAAATAAATTAGATCTGTTAGCTGTGTAAACCCCACAGGCATGGCAGCAGATTTTCGTATCTGTTAGATACTCTAAGTTTACAACCTTAACTAAAATGTGATTATCACTGAGCTTCCTACTTGGGGCAACATTGTTTTGCCCCATCACAGGACAGCCTTTACAAAGCTGCACTTTGACGTTATCATTAGTAATAGCTAACACTTTCCTGATGCTGAGCTTCTTATCCACATTAAATCACTTAACCTTCCCAACCACCTAGTGAGGTAGATAGTCTCTAATCCCCCTTTTGAAGTGAGGCACACAGCTTGCCCAACATTATACAGCTAGTAATTTGTAGAGCTAGGGTTTGAACCAGGTGGCCTACCTCTCCAGTCTCTACACTAATAACTGGTAATGTGTGTAGGTTGTGTACTACTCAGAGCTGCAAATGCGTATGTGTACCGTGAAAAGTAACTCTCCCTTGCCCCCTTTTCTCTCAGCCACCGTGGTCCCCTGCCTAGAGAGGCATTATATTTTTGGCTTTTTTTGTGGCTCTAAGGATGTCACAGAAAACTCACTGATGTGGGTTTTCCTATGTGCTGTTGAAGATACTCCTATGTCACACAATTTCCTCTTCCTGAGGATCCATGGTAAAATTTTAACACTGGTCTTGGTATCAGAAAGAATGTTGCATCTCTTTAATATGTAGTTTTTTCTTTATCTTACAGATGTTTTGAGTCTTATATCAACAAGTTTCCCTCTTTTGTGGTCCACTTAGAAGCTTAGAGCAAAATTTGCAGCCACATTCAGTAGTTATTTAGGTTCTCCACCCTGCATTTATTTGTGTGTTAACCTTTTCCCCCATTATTACCCTTGCCTGACTTATTTATGAGGTTCCTTGAGATCTTTTGGAAGTGAGCAAGGAATGTGGAATTAATTAGTAAATGATTAAATCATCAGAGTTTTCTAGTGGGAGTACAGCACGGAAGATGAAATTTCAGCTCAATTTGGGTGACTCTGGAGGATTTTGTAGTGATTTTTCAGTAAAATGAAGATTCCATAAATTAGAGAGGCAGCCTTACTGATCCAGACATGGGAATAGCCTTCTGTAATTAGTTTAAAAATCTTAAAAAGACAAAGGA